ATTTGATGTTGAGTAAGAGATGGTCGGATTATCACATGCAAAATTTAAACTCCCATATACATATTGTATGAAAATACAATAATGGCATGTCACGCCCAAAAGAGAAAGAGCAAAATTATTATAGAGAGACGTGCACGCATATAACGACGCTGATTTTGTCCTTTCATTTGCTCTCTTTTGGGATGTGTGTTTTGTTTTGTCAGTTTGTAAAACTTGACGCGGCTTACGTCTCAAATCAAATTCTATTATAAACCAAGAATGACAAAAGCAAACCTTATGACTTTCGACTTCAATATATATACTGCTCAAAACAGTTTCACAAACTTACAAATTTTTCTACTATAATATTCCATTTCAGATGAGCTCACCTCACAAGTTTTATTTTTTTTAATTATTTACTAAACAATAAAAAGGAAAAACGTGTTAGATGTCGAGTGATGCGTTCGAACAATAACATAAACAAAATTTTTATTAAAAATATGTAAAAATATGATGCGTCACTGTCAAAAACAATATTATGTTATTTGGCATTCGTATTCAAAACGTCATTCTTATATTATAATTTCTCGAAAAACATATCTTTTATAAAGAATATACAACGTAATTCATTTAATATGAAATGGGATGCAATGTAGCGGGAGGTTGGATGATGTATCCGAAATCAGGATCAAGTATCAAATATATCCAAAAAAATCCGTAAATTATAAAGAATTCTTTTAATACGGAAAAAATTAAGATAAGATGCAATTAGTTCTTCACATTATGAAATTCGTATAATTTTACCAAAAAAATTAATTAAAATTATTCATTTCTTTTAAATGAATTTCCACTATATATAAGAGGCTAGAAACAGGCAGTCTTTGACAACATGTTTGGTTTTAGCCGTTTGAACTATATTTAAGTGTAATTTGGTGGATTCAATTTTTTATTTTATTGGAGCTTTAACCAGCCGCAATCATCGGTGAGTGTTCTTATATTGCCTTTTGCTGAGTGTTCTTATATTGCCTTTGATTCTTTCAATTTCTAGAGGAGTTACTTTGTCAACCAATATATAGGCTTTTTCATCTCTAGACTCTCAATTAATATAAATAATTTGTTTGCTATCAAAATAATTACAAGAAAGTTAATAAAATAAATTTCTAATGATTATTGAATCGAATAACAAAGTTCCTTAAAAATTATAAATTTTTATGATGTAAGTTTGGTCAATTAACCTACCTATAATAATATTAATGTAAAGAATATTCTGAAGGCATTGAGAGAATAAATCTAGCTACAAATTATATTGGAAAAATTACGCAATAAAGCAAATTTATACTATTTGATTACTCATCATAACTATAGTTTGCTATGATTATAACTCGCAACTATTATTATACAATAATTACGTGGACTGACTTTGAGTTTAAATAATTAGTCATGTTTCTATATGTATAATTTGCAAGAATATACAAATACATACGTATATTATACAATCATTTAATCAATATACATATACAATTCACCTCTCTCCCACTCTTTCCCCTCTCCTCTCGCCTCTCCCCTCCTCTGTCAATCTCGCTCACCTCTCTCCTCCCTCTTCCAATCTCGCTTTCCCTATATACAAATGCATATGTATCAATGTTTTTGATAAACACTGTTGGGACTCGCCTCGAGGCTTGCCCTTGGGCTGGACTCTAGAAAAACGCCCCAAAACTCAACTATGGGGCTTAGTTTTAGTTCTGTAAGACTTACACCCTAAGCGCCCAATTATACGCCCTAAGCACGCCCAACGCCCAACGCTCAGGGCTCGCCTCATAGATCTTACACAAATTATGTTTTAAAATCTTTAGTTAACATTGTTGACCCTCGTAATTTTTGAATAATTGAATGACATTTAATAATTTTTTAATCTATAGAGATAATAAGATTATGAGTAACTCAAATAACAAGTTGTAATATCGTATCTTTACTATTTGGTAACATGTGCAGATAATTATTTAGTACATAACATTTCTTTATAAATACATAGTGAAATTTTACTTTTTTACTTATCGTTGCTTTTCATAATTTTGGTACATGTCTCAAATATATTTTGATTTTCATCAATATCATTTTCAAATTCGGTTGGTAAAGTTGGACGCTCTCTCGCCATTAATCCAATCTCTAAATAGTACTGATATCTCTATATCTGCTACTAATGAATATCTATGCTCTCTAATTTGAAATCATGTTGCACTAAAAGTGCTTCCCGAAGCTACTGAAGATGCTTGAATAGTTAACACATCTCGAGCAATATGTTGAAGTTTTGGAAATCACTTGCCACGATTGCTCCACCAATCTACAATATCAGTAAAACCTTGTGAGACCTTAATAGTTTTCGTATTTTTATTAATATATGCATCAAAATTATTTCTATCACAATGAGAAAGTTCAAGATAACAATCTAACATAGCATCAATATCATCTTCATTATATTTACACCTAGAACTTTGAGGTTCTTTATTACGTACTACATTTCTTCTATTACAAGTATACAATTCATACAATTTTTAATTTCAATTTTTATACTATCTTTAACATCTAGACAACTAGGTGTTTCATCATCTTCAATACTCAAATTAAAAGATATTTTATCAGTCATTCGTGATGCACCTTCATCTTTGTCTTGGGGGTTTAACAAACAAGCGGTTGAATAAATTTGAGGAATAAGAATAAAATATTTTTTAAATTTTCAATTTTTTTCTTAACAGATATTTCATATCTTGGTTTATTTTTTAATTTATAAAATTTACTAGAAATAACACAAATATTTGGTAGAACAGGGCAAATAGTTGGATAATAAAGTTCAAATATTTTTTTTGTACAAAGATTAAAAACTTTTAAGAATACTATAAGTTATTTTAGGTCATTCCAATCATTATCATCAAGTTTATAGTTCATATTTGAATTATGAGCATTCCAAACATTTGTAAAGATTTTCTATATTCATAAGCAACTTGAAACATTTCAAATAAAGAATATAGGTAACCTTTACCAATGGTTTGTAATTCAAGTATGAATTATAGACTTGATAATGATTGAAATAACGATAACGTAAGAGAATTTATAGAATCCTTAAAAGTTTTTTTATTTATGTAAAAAAAAATATTTGCACTTCATTATTTTACTATTTGCTTTGTTTTACCAAATATTTGTGCTATTTCTAGTAAATTTTATAAATTCAAAAATAAACCAAGATTTGAAGAATCTGCTAAGAAAATTGAAATTTTTTAAAAATATTTTATTTCTATTCCTCAAATTTATTTAACCACTTGTTTGTTAAACTCACATTACAAAGATGAAGGTGCATCACGAATGATTGATAAAAATATATATATTTTTTGGGTATTGAAGATGATGAAACACCTAGTTAATTGTGAAGAAGTTAAAGATAGTATAAAAATTGAAGCTAGAAAATTATATGGTATAGTTCTAATAGAAAAATGAAGTACTCTCTCTGTCTCTATTTAGTTGTCACTTTATTAAAGACGCACATATTAAGATAACAATAATTAACATAGTGAAGTTACAATCTTAGCCTTATTAAATATGGTTTCAAAAAGGATGAAATGAAACTATGAAATTTTCAATAAGTTTAAATGAAGGTATAATAGGGAAAAGAAATTTGTCCTTTGTTGATTTGTCAAAATGGACAAGTTAATAGGGTCATCTAAAAGAGGAAATATGGGCAAGTAAATAGGGCCAGAGGGAGTACGTAATAAAGAACTTCAAAGTTCTAGGTGTATATATAATGAATGTAATATTGATGATATGTTATTGTTATCTTGAACTTTCTCATAATGATTTTGATGCATATATTAATCAAAATACGGGAATTATTAAGACCTCACAAGGTTTTACTGATCTTCTAGATTGGTGGATTAATCGCCACAAAGAATTTCCAGAACTTCAACCGGTTGCTCGAGATGTCTTAGCTATTCAAGATGTCTTAGCTATTCAAGCATCTTCAGTAGCTTTGGAAGGCACTTTTAGTGAAACAAGATTTCAACTTGGAGAACATAGATATACATTAGCATAAATAGCTTGGAGATATCGGTACTAGTTAGAGATTGAATTAATGGAAAGAGAAGGAGTTATAGGCATCCAACTTTACCTACCAAATTTGAAAATGATATTGATAAAATGATGCAAGATTTTATTGACGACGACATTGATGCATTGGAGGAACTAGTCGATCAACCAGTTCCTTATCATGTTACTAAAGAAATGCCAAATGTAAGAAAAGATTGACTTGGTAGAATGAACTATTAAATATCTGTGAGTATGATAATTCGAGATCTAATTCAAACAGAATTTTTCCTAGAAGGTGGTTGTTTAGATTAGGTCATTTAATCCTTTATTAATATTTTGTAACTCAAATTGTACTATTTGATTAATATTAATAAAAATATAGACAATTCGCCTTATAAATTTTTTTTTATTATTGTCTTCAACTCTTATAACTTATAAAGTTTGAAATTTAAATTTTTAATAAGCTTTTAACGTTTGAAATTTAAAGTTTGAAAAATTAAACTTTTATACTTTTGAAATTTTAAAGTGTGAAGTTTAAATTTTCAAACTTTTAAAGTGTAAAATTCAAACTTTTATACTTTTAAAGTTTGAAAGTTTTTATTTTAAACATTAAAAGTATAAATTCTTAACTTTGAAATTATGGATAATGCACAAGTACCCCTCGATCTATGCCCGAAATTTCAGAGACACTTATACTATACTAAGGTCCTATTATCCCTGAACTTAATTTATTAATAATTTGTTATCCCTTTACGGCCTACGTGGCACTGTCTTGTGGACCAACGCTGGTTGACTTTTTTTTTCAAGCAACTGTCACGTAGGCCGAAAAGGCATAAAAAATTATTTATAAAATTAGTTCACGGGGTAATAGGACCTTATTATATTATAAGTGTGTCTCTGGGATTTCAAGCATAGGTTGATGGGGTAGTTGTGCATTTTCTCTTAAAATTATAAAAGTTATTGTATTATTTTATTAATGTTCCTAATTTTTTAGTTTTAACAAGTAACCCGGTTTCCGGTCCCAGTACTGTACCGGATATACATATATTCTGCTGGAACTTCCGGTTCCGGAACCTTTCCTCCCAGCGGCTCTCGGTTTTGATCGCTCCCGGTCCGATAGTGCCGCTACCGGTTCCGTTGCCACGCTTACTTTGGCAAGGCAACAAAGGGAACAGAAGCATCAACCTGGTTAACTGAGAAGCACTAACCTTAAGGAAGATGCTATGGGCATCAAGAATCTGTGGCTGCACAAGAAGTCTCCTACAAATATGGCTATGGAGGTTCATCATGGAGGTTTTTAGCACTAAGGAGAAATTTCATCTCACAGAAATATGGAATGGATTACAAAAGAAGTCAAAAGCCCTTATGGTTGTGGTGTCTGATAACCCTTCGCAATCAGTTGTCAGTTTTTTGGGACAAAGTAGAGATCACAGTGGGTAATGAAAGAAAGACTGAATTTCTGGAGGATCAATGGATTGGTGGTCCCTGTTTGTAGTCCACCACCCCTGTTCTATATATATTAAGTCCCCAAAAACATGTTTAGATAGATCAAGTCTGAAGTGTACAAGGTTGGGACTAACTTTCAGTGACTGGGAATTTGGAAGTCTTACCTCAATGCTTCAGCCCATTGATACTTTTTGAGGAATTACTGAGAACATAGACCAATTAAAATGGAGGTTGGACAGGAAAGGAGAATTTTCAGTCTACTCTCTCTACTACAACATGAACCACACAAGTCATTAAAATGTGTGTTGGCCTTGGAAGCTTATTTGGAAAGTCAAGGTTCTACCAAAGGTATCATGTTTTGTTTGGTTGGTGATGAGGAAAGTACACGTAACTCAAGATAAGTTGCAAAAAAGAGGTCTTCAGATTTGTTAAGATGTCTCTATTATGTGGACACAAAGGAAGAAGTAATGAGCACCTTTTCCTTCATTGCAAGACAACTACAATTTTGTGGCCACATGTCCTTTAGTATATTGAGGATAAAATTGATCATGACCAAGTCTACGTTGGAGCTTCTGCGAAACTGGAAGAATGTGAGGAGAAGCAGCGCCGAAGAGGAGTGGTGCAGGTCATTCCTGGTGGACATTTTGGAAAGAGAGGAACTCTAGGCATTTTGAAGACACTAGTAAATCTACCTAGAATAAAAGGTTAAATTGCCTTATTTTGTTCTTTTTTGGTGTAAACAAAATATGTGGGGGAAATAAGAGAATTAGTAGATTTAATTGGCAATGTATAAGCTTGTATATTTTGTGGATAGATCCCTATTCTTTTTAATGTTTGTTAAGTTTCGACAGCTTAGCATCTCCTTGGAAGCTGAGTTTTGGTTATTTACACCAAGTTCTTTTAAGTTGTATAATCATTAATATAGGTGACATGCGCAAAGCGTGTACATTACAGACTAGTGTCATGAAAAATGGATACAAAATTTTGACTTCCTTGTTTTGGCAATAGGTCTGAAAAAAAATATCTAAAAGTATCAGATTTAGATAGAGTTAAAAGAGCACTATCTTCTTATTCTTTTGTTTATTTTTCACATCTGCATAATTCCAGCCGCCAGGTTGTTGCTATTATTTACATTTTGCTTATTGTATAAGCTGCTGTGTCTCAGGTGACAATTGCTCGAGTATACAATTGGGATGTGCAGCAACGTAAGTTTCGACAAGCTGCCAGTCCAAAAGAGTCGTGATCAAAATCTGTGTATGTGGTACTCACTTTTGCTGCAAAGAGTACGAGTTAGATCTTTGTTTATCGTTTTAGGTTTGCTTGTTTTGCACTCTCCGCAAGCAGGATCCTGGATTATTATTCAGACCATCAGTTGTTGGGCTTGTAGCAATTTTGTAAGAAAACAAATATTTATTGGTGAGTCTGTGTATTTACTAGATAGTTAGGAGCAAAAGTAAAGTATAATAATACAATCTGTCTTTAAAAAAAAAGAAAGTGAAATGATACAATTGTACCAAAGATTGATAAATTGTGGTATCACCATGTTATATTGTTCCTATAGGGGGCTTGTCTCTAGTCATTGTACTCTAAAGAAATGAATGAATAGCTCCAGTTTTTCTGACTTTAGTATCTCAATTAAATGTTCACCACAGGTAATATCTACTTAGAAGATATAATTCATTTGAAGATTATCCATAGTTAAACATGCTTCATACATAACCATACTACCAATAGGGGCGAGTTTATAGAGGAGACTATGGGGCACGTGAAAACATGGTCTCCATGAAATTCGTTGGTTAATGTATATAGCTTTTGAAATGGTAATAATATTAATTATTGGCACTCATGCTCTAAGAAGGTTGAATAGTGTTTTCTAAAAGGTTGAGTTATTCCAAGAGGAATAGGGATGAATTCTCAGTTGATACATTCTCCTCCTCTTTTATTAGTGCACCCATGTACTAAAAACCCTTAATCCGCTTCTGCCTACCAAGGGATATATTCATAAAAGTTTTCACTGCCGTTGACCTTTTAGATGAGTTTCTACCAAAAGGTCGTAGCAAATTCAACTGTAAGCACCAAGGGAGAGGTTGAAAGGCAAAGGTTTTTGTTCCCTAAATTAGAGATCTCGAATTTGACTCACATGATTTGGCCAAATGGGTTTTGGATATCAGATGGTAAATCAAAGGGACACTAGATAAGATGTTAATGATCAGTATAGTTTTTCCTCCTAGTTCTGCGAAGGACAATCTAGGGGTCACAATTAGGTAGGTTGGGTGAAATTTTGACCGATGTCAAGATAATAAGGAGCCGTTTGTTAGGCCGCATTAGAAGAAATAATCCATGTTATTATAGGATGTATTACTTATTCCATTTGGAGGTATTAGTAATACATAGGATATAATACCATTGGATTAGTCTATGTAAAGATAAAAATATTCCTCAAATGTTTTTTTTAATTATTTTGTTTATTTTCTTGATTTTAATGATTTTATATTTGTACTAGTAATTATTTTAAAANAAAATTTAGGCCTTTACAATATATATATATATATATATATATATATATATATATATATATATATATATATATATATATATATATATAATGTATATATGTACATACATCAAAATCCAGGCTAGAAACGATGCATGCGCCCGCCGTCCGCTTGCCGACCTCAAGCGGCGGGTAGAATCCTTTGCATACGACTTAAATACGCAACGGGGTACTGTAAGTAGCAGAGTGGCCTTGCTGCCACGATTCAGTGAGATTCAGTCTTTTGTCGCTCTGATTCGTCCCCCCCCCCCTCCCCAACCTCAAATCCAATCATTTCTAACTTTTCAAATGAGAGGTTCGTGTACTACTTGCATCCTTGGAAGGGGAAAATAACTAAGTGCTAAAATATAAGTACCGAAAGTAACATGGCACGTGAAGATCACTAGTCTGCCGCTAAGTGTTGAGCTATACGTTGTACGGCGATCAAACACTTGTCCGATAACTAAGCCCCATTGCGAGGTTTTTCGTGACGTTGAGTTCATTTGTCAAGCCTAATGACATGTTAAGGGACTAATAACAATGTCTCTATGAGAGCTTTTTTGGGATGTCGGGTGCGATTTTTAAAGCTAAGTGAGATGTCAAGGGGCAAATGGGTCTGCGTACGCAACACGGGCGTTCCACGTCCGCGGCCAGGCGACATGTGCCAAGGCCTGCGCAGAACGGGCGTGGACTGCAAAATACGCCCTTGGACTGCACAAGCGGTCGAACGACGTCAGGTATGACATACCATCATCGCCTTTGGACTAGTTGACATGGTAGGACGAAGTCGGGCGTGACATGCCATCATAGCCTTTTTTATGTGTAAATGTAGATGATTTATTTAATTTTACCATTATTGACTGTCTTTTCAATTTTAAAAGTAGTTGATTTATAATTTTAAACTTGAAAAATGACATTTTGTGAGTGATTAATTTATTAAGATGACAATTATTTATCCTCAAATAATTCAAGTGAAAAAATAACAAACATGATAACAAAATTGTTTCTCTCATAACTAGTTAGAAGGCCATAAAAAAATAATATTGTCCGGTAATTATCTATCTTGACCCAATTACCTAATAATTAAAGGGTATAATAGGAAAAAAAAACTTTTTTATAGAGTTTTAATTCAAACACAAGATGAGGTGGGAAACAATGAACCAAACACTTGATAAAAATAAACCATGCATTACTAATCCATGCACTACTAATCTCTGCATTACTATTCCATGCATTACTAATTTTTGTACCAAAGGACCCCTAAATGAGTCAAGGCCTTACCCAATCAAAATTTACTTGGGTCAAAATGGGTCAGGTAATGGGCAATGATCCAACCGTTTAGTGGGCTGATATTGTTTTAAAAAATATTTTGACAATATTTCTCATAAGTCAATTTTGGGCATTATCAATCAATTTTAAGTGAGTTGAAATGAATTGAGTTAATTACCGTTTAAACTTAAACTGTTTAGGCGGATTAAGATTAATTTTGCCGCCATAAAAGTGCTTGTTTCCCAGTCATGACAGTTCTCCTCAAGGCTCAAACCTATGTGTCCCATGTCAGACAGAAGGAAATAGGGATGCGAGTCGGGATGACAATAGAGCGGAGTAGAGCAAAACCTTAACAGAGTAGTGCAGGGGAACATACTAAAAGGAAAAATTATTGCAATACACATCTTATATTTCTCTTATTTTCAATATCTCCTTCTATTTCTAAAAACCTCTAAGGTCTATCCGAGCTACATATATAATGTATCTGAGCTACATATTATGCATCCAAGCTATTTTTAATGTATCCGAACTAAAAATTATGTATTTGAACTACATATTAATGTATTCGGTTTGTGATACTTTTTAAGAAATTAGTGTAATTACAAACTAAAAAGGAATAAGTTTTAATTTCATATTAAAAGATGCGATTCCTAAAATTTATCCATACTTAATAGGGTAGCGCAGACAGGCAAGTAACGGGTTAAAAATCTTCAACAGCAAACGATAAAATAATGTGTAAATTTTGGATATAACATTTTTTATAGTAATATTTTCAAGCTATAGCATTAGATTTTGAGTTTCAATATATGACATTTAATATCTCAAGTTATAACATATACTTAGAAAAAAAAAGTTGATTTAAAATAATTGAAAACATTTGTTTTTTAAATAAAATGAAGAGGAAAAAAACGTCTATGCATTAATTGTCAAGTAGCACGATTTGTAGGATTTAAAATAATTTGAATTAATAATGAATAATTAACAAATTAGCACTTTTTAAGGAATTCAAAAAATATTAAAATTATTCAGTTTCCTTAAAACGCTCAAATTAGTAGTAATCAAATCAAAATCTGATTTTTCCCCTTTTTTCTCTCTATCGCGTTTCTCAATCTCCATTTTTTTTACAGAACGTAATTCCAATTTTTTACTGATTAAAGTATTTTTTTCATTGAAAAAATCATGATTGTTGTGATGGACAACAATTTATCAATATTAATTAAACATAGTGGAAGAAGGGATCCGTCAGATTGATATTTTCTCATAGTTTTCTGATTTGTTTTTAGTAATCTCTGCTAATAACATAGGTTATGATGTTTTTGTTTCACAACACATTTTGGTAGGTACCATACTTGAAACAACATGTTACATTATATACGTTTATTAAAATTAAAAATTTAAGTAAAAGTTGTGTCCTGAAAATATAAAACAAATTGATATTATAGTGTATTATTTTGTATTTCAAAAACATTGTATTAAAAGTGTTGTAAGAATGTATATATCTATTTTTTTGTTTCGTAATTAATATTTTGTTATTTGTGGATATATGTAATATAATAGAATTATTGGTGAGAAAAGCGTATAAAATTGGTAAAATGATGTTAATTTTCTGAATTGCTATTAAGATTGTATGAAATATGAAATGTTGGTTTGTTTGACTATTTTTGATTTGTAACGCAATGTTTGTACTTTTTGACATTTATTATATGAAATTGGTATTATTTTGGTATGAAATGTTTTTATTTTGTTTTATGAATTGTGTATGAAATATGCAATATTATTGTGTATGTATGATTTCTGATTTCGGTTGTGTGAAATTGTGATTTATATTAATTGTTTTGTAATGATTATATTAATTTTTATTTTATTGTAATTAAACAAGGAAATATGTCTCTTTTTAGATAGAGGGGATCATATACGATGCATCTAATCTTTATAGTGGTCTAGTTAATGCGATAATGTGACAAGTTAAGGTAAATGTTAATATAAACGATATTGAAATAAAATATATAGTTAGTGATAGGTGTCCACCTGTTAGTATTAAAAAATGATTTCTTGATTTTCACTCTTTGTTACACAACATGTTTTATTTTATGGAATGAATTTGATAACGTTAATATTTGAGTAGTTGTGATTTCTTAATATTGTCCAACTATAAATAATATTGAAACACACTTTATACCAATTATACAAGAATCATACATAGTTCATATAAAAATCATATATATGGAAGAACTTTTTGAACATATAATATGAAACTCTTGTTAAAATTGTTCATACATAGATCACACATACTTTTTACAAAGTTTATATGGAATTCATACAAAAATTATATATATGGAAGAACTTTTTAAACATTTAATTGTACAATGAAACTCTTGTTAAACTAGTTCATACATAGATCATACATACTTCCTACCAATGTCACGACCCAAATCGAGCCGCGACTGGCACCCACACTTATCCTACTATGTGAGCGAATCAACCAATCCAAACCCCAACATTTTAACCATAATAAACAGAATACAACGTGGAAGACTTAAACTCATTAATGAAAATCAATTAAACAACTTCTAAAAACTCAACAACTATTATTATCCCCAAAATCTGGAAGTCATCATCACAAGAACATCTATCCTCAAATTACTAAGACTAAGAGTATCTAAGAAACTAAACATAAATAAAAAGCTAATCCATGCCGGAACTTCAAGGCATCAAGACATGAAGGAGAAGATCCAGTCCAAGCTAGAAGCATTAGCTCACCCTGAAATCCGGTGTAATGAAGACTGGCTAGAGTTGCGGTTGAGTTTAACTTGACGGTA